TTTTTTTTTTTTTTTTTTTTTTTTTCTCTTTAAGTAATTTAGAAAGATTCGAACGATTATCTGTAATGGATTAAACCACGCGATAAGAGAACAATCGTGTGAATCGCGATTGAAAAATGTAATGTGAACGCGTTTCGTTTATTATTATCGCAATAAAATATCCTATGCGTACGTATTTTTCTAATTGTTATTTCTTAACTTAAATGTAATTTAAGTTTTAAAGTTTTTACGTTTAAGCAAAAAAAAAAAAAAAAAAAAAAAAAAGAAAAAAAAACGTGTAAAACATTTTATATTTTACATGAGTAATTATTGTGAACGATAAATAATTAATCGATGATCTTCGAAACGATTTTAAACGTAGAAAAAGAAAAGAAAAAAACTACATTTTTTGGACGTCGATTTCATTCGTCCAAAGTGTAAGGATTAATTATTTATTGTAAAAGAAAATACATAGACGTGGATTAAGTGGAAACGATTTTAATCACAAATAGTTTTTAAAGTTGATCGATAAAGTTCCTTTCCCGTATATAATTGTCCGTGCGATTAACTAATTAATTAATTAATTAATTAATTAATTAATTAATTGTCTCTTCAAGTTTGTTTATCGATCGAGCAAAAGAATTATCGCGATACTTAAATAAAAAATATATATATATATATATCTGATGATAAATGATATTCGAAAGGAATTTTATAAACGTTTATCAACATATTTTTTTTTTGTAAAAAATTTTTGTTGAACGCGTGATTAATAATTGTAAATTGTTCAAATCTCTCGCCTTATTTTTATGTTCCTATTTTATTTAATTGTTTCGCATTTTTTTTTTAATCCAACTTGTGTAAAAAAAAAATGAGTGTAAATATTTAAGGAAATATTTGTTTTTCCTTTTTTTTTTTTTAATTTTACGACTGATTATTATTGATTTATCGATAATTATTATTATTATTATTATTATTTTCTTTTTATTTTTAATAACATATATATATATATATATATGTATATATATATGTGTGTATATATATATGTGTGTGTGTGAATATTTGTTGGATGATTCTTTCTTGCGAGTAATATTTTTCTAATTTATCGATATATCGATTTAGATTATATTATATTATTACGATATTAACATACGTATGTAATCAAGATATTAGAAAAATGTCTTTAAATTGAAGGAGAAAGGATTGAAGAAAGAACGGGTGTTTTCATGTTTGGGACACATTTTTCTGATATCTTCGATCGGATACATTCGATGCTGTTCACAATGATACAACATGTTCCTTAAAGTACACTTTTTATTATCGCTCTATCTCTTTTGTATCTTTAATTCGATCTATTATAACATCATATAACATTATGCGATACATTTTTTACGATATTAAATGTAAAAAGAGTAATATTTAAAATTATATATTTGATCATCAAAATATATTATATCAAACTATTATATCATGGAGGAATTGAATTCTAGAAATAATTACATTTTTAACGCGTCATCGTTTCGAGACCGCCATTTTATTTTATCGCCTAAATCTATCGGTTAAATGTTAATGATTATCGTGAAGATTATATTAAAAAAAAAAACCTGTTTTTTCGAGGATTTACATTTTTCTCGATTTCTCTCTCTCTCTCTCTCTCTCTCTCTCTCTCTCTCTCTCTCTCTCTCTCTCTCTCTCTCTCTTTCTCCAAATTACAAATAATTGCGCATGAAGCATCATCCAACAATTAATTAACAAAGTTATCGTTCTATTATTCGCGCGGCAATATTATATTCGTGCTTGAATTTTCATTTCGAATTTAAAAAAAAAAAAAGACGAACGTAAACAAGACTCGTANAAAAAAAAAAAAAAAAAAACAAAAGAAAGAAAAAACACTTTTCTCGACGAAAGAAAGAATTTCTTTTTTTTCTCAAAGAATCGAAACGATAGATGATATTTAATACGGATAATAATATAAGGTATGAACCATTGAGATTGAAAATATCGATACGGATATCGCGGACAATTTTCTCATGGTTTGAAAAATCATGATGCGTTCTATTTGTATCGGTGTTTTAATCCACCGGTTGATTATAATCTTTCGATTATCAGCGCGAAGATATCGGTGAATAAAGGATATTCAAATTTGTACGACACCTTCGTTATTAATTATTTTACGCTTTCTTGTTTTTAATTCTGTTTATTTGCCAAAGAAAAGCTTCGATTAAAAAAATTTAAATTAAAGAGAAATACGAGAAATCGTATTACAAATCGTAAATATAAATTACGTACGTTTTAATTTTAATTTCGATGATTGAATTACATTTTCGCCTAAAAAAAAAAAAAAAAAAGAAAAAAAAATGTCAAGAATTATGTTATATTCATACAGAGTTATTTATATAAACGTTTCACGTTTTTCTCGAATTTAAACTCGAATATTGTTCACTCACTTGTTTTTCATTATCATTTTGAAAATTATTTTTAATTTTTAAAAAACAACGATGAATTGAAATTTTTTTAAAACGGATAAAAAAGATCGATATAAAAATATATTTTAGTTTTATCAATTTTATTTTATCTCCTTTCGAATAATTGTATATATATATATACGTACATAAGTGATAAGATCGTTTTAAGTTTCTTTAAATGAAACCTCTCTTAAAGGTGAATACACGCCTTTTCGCGCGCGTGTGTGTGTGTGTGTAATCGAGCAATTTCGTTTCGAACGTAACGACATAATAATTATACGACTTTTAATATTTGCTACAATCTATAACAATTACGGCATACAGTTTAACCACTTGCTCACTTCCAATTAATACTTTTTACGAAACAAAATAACAAAATAAGTTTCAAATTCAATTATTAATTTTAAGTTTGGAAGGATGAAATGTAAGAAGGAACGATCTCATTGTGTGAAAATAATTTATAACATCACGACAAGTATTTCTTATAAATAAATCAGTTTATATAAATTACATTTTTACAAAAAATTGCCTTTCAAAGTAAATAACTTTTAACGACGAATGTGTGTAGTATAAATATGTTCAACTTGGGTTGATGAAAAAAACAAAAACAAAAAAAAAAGGAAGATGGCGTTACCGTAAACGTAAGATATATCTTTGTCGAGAAATCTGTAATTTATCAACGATCGATTAGTCGATTGAACGCGAAGGATATCGAAATTGGATATTAGAAGCGAAGGAAGGTTATTTTCAAATGATAATTACAAAGGAATATTTTTTTTCCCACTCTGCTCTACTCTTCATTTCTCTTTCTCTCTGTCTTCTTTTTGCTCTTTAATTAAGAAAGAATCACTTTCTGATTGGAATTTGTCTCCTTTTTGCAATTAAAAAAAATTATTCTCTTTGTTTGTTTAAACATAAATTCGAAGGTATCATTTTCACGAATGATCTCTTTATACAAATATATCTCTCAATTATTTTTTATTTATTCCGGCTTTTTTTTTTTTTTTTGAATTTATCATCATAAAATAAACATTTTTCCAGTTACTTTTGTACAAAGGATAAAGATGGAATGAAACATATCATAGTTGTTTATAACTGTTTCCTCCAGTAATACATTTATCTCGAAACTTTTGGTCCAAGCTTTAATTGGATTTGCATTTCGAGATTGAAACTTACCGATCTAACGAAGTATTGTTTTCCGTTTCCATTTGGTGTAAACATGATTTCGATATTTAAAGTTTATGTACACGTGTAATGTGCTTAAACTAGTTCTCAAACTTTTTGCACTTGTGAAACCAGATCCACATCCCGTGTATTTATTTTTACGAGCAACATACATCGAAAAATTGATATCATTTGTTTCTCGAATGTACGAAAATACTTGGTACAAAGTTTTTTTTTTTTTTTTTTCGTTCAAAAAAATATATTTAAACGAATGGAAAATGATAGAAATACGTTGGTAAAGAAGAGAAGCGGAACGAGTATATGTGTGAAAAATGCTTATTCAGGTCGAAGAGTACGCCGCGGCAGGCCGCGGCTTGGAACGAGAGGTGGAAAGCATGGATCCCCATCCGTGCAAGGTAATTCGCCATCGAGGAGCGAATGGTTACCCTTGGACATGAGAACTACTCCTCCTGCTGCGATGCCTGCTTTTCGTGGTTTCGAGGAATCCTCTTCCGATGGCGTGGTAAATTTCCAAATCTATACATACATCTTGCCATATTTTCTTTTCATATTCACTTTTTAACCTCTACAAAATCTTAAATGAACTAATTTGGATCTTATACTCCCCTCTCTCTTCTTCCCTCGGTATTGATCTTATAGCTGCTTTAATTTTTGACAGCTGTAAGATCAATACCAAGAACAATGTGTTGTTCGATATTTTGTACGATAAATATTTCGATTTTAAAAAATTCTGCAATCCGTGATAAAACGTATCGTGTGTTATTTATCGATAGGTGCACCTGGGAGAGGGAATAGCAATTTGTGAGGAACAACTAAGGGCTGTGAAATGGAGCGATTACAGGAAATTGACACGTGGCCTGGCTGCAATTTTGTTCAGCCCTACCGAATTGGCCACTTGCTCGGTAACGGGGCAACGATGGAGTCGAGCTGGGACTGCCACTGAGAGACCGGTGAAACCTGCCTTGGATAAAGCCAAAGTCCAGGCTATTATATGTAAGTAATTTTTAATGTTTAGTTTCTAAGCCGCGTTATTTATTAGAACAAATATTGGGATAATAAATTTATGAACTTTTTTTACGAAAAAATACGTTTAAAGTTATGAAATTGCACGAGTTTATTTATACCTCTATTTTTATATTTCTGAAAGTGAATACTCGTGCGATATATAACGATAAAAGAAGGAAGGAAGGAAGGAATAAAGTTTCTGAGAGAGAAAACAGAAATAAAAAAAAGTAACAGGTTTTATTTTTTTGCGGATCGGTATTTTGTTCCACAAAATAATAAATCGACATTGATGGAACGTGACTAACGATGAATAGGTTAAGAATTTTTTTTCGAGTCACGCTCGAGTTGCTTTGTTATGCAAAGACACGAAGTTACGAGATTCAAATCGAGTTTTATTTTTTTTTCAAGTAAAACTAATTAAACATGTAGCAGTCTTACAGGCATCTTTGTGAATAGTTGACGGAATTAATGCGTTTCTTTATCGATGTACCGTGATATTCGCGCGTATTTAAGTTAGAGAGAAATAAATGTTTTGTTATAATGTCGTGTAGGTGTCAGCACTTGTAAGAGAATTTAGCTTTAAAAATTTATCAAGGAAATATATTATATTCTTTTTTGATTTCTTCGTAATAATTAATCCGTAATAAATTTTTGCGAATTTTAAATGAAAATTGTTTGAAAGAAAAAAGAAAAATACTTTTGGTAAAAATATACCAATTTTGGAAAAATTTCACGGAACAATCGAATATGAATGAATATGAAACGATGCATGGGAAAGGAACGCAGAATACGTAAATGTATGAAGAAATGTGGTAAACGCAGGATATCCGAGAATAGAGCGGTGACTACTCTTCGACGATGTCTAAACATTTACTCGGATTGAAAATAGGTCGTTCGAGAATTGGAATTTCACTTTATAAAATTTCGCCTCTTAGCAAAATCTAGTTCCTCGTTCTATTTTTTTTCAAATCGCGAGAAATGTCGAAATATACGAAAAAAAAAAGATATTAAATCTATTCGTTTATAAATATTAGTGCTAAAACGTTCGCGTTTATTTTTCTATTTTATTTTTCAAACAGATAAAATGACGATAAAATTTGATATAACGTTGAATTGGTTTTCTTTAATTTTTCATCTTTTAAAATTTTCCTATCTTTTTATTTTTACTTTTTTTTTTTTTTTTTTTTTTCATTTCAATATATATTTCAAATGTGAAAAATGATAAAAAGATTTAAGTAACGTGAAAAGAAATGTAGAGTTCAAAGAAAGTATTAAACGTTATATAAGTAGTAATACGTATAATTTGATGCAATAAAGATAAGAGTATAAAAAAAATATAAAAACTGGATAGAGTAGTAATAGCGACTGAAAACGTTGAAAGTGATATTTAATTTAGCACATCTGGTGAAAGTACATTTTTTTTTATTGAAATTTTAAAGCTTACGTGACATCGAGATTTCCCACAGTCGATGTAAGCAGTGTGAAACAAGTGTTGGCTTACAAATGCAAGGAGAACTCGACAGCGCTCAAGATGAAATCTATTAGATACATTTGGTAAGTCTAATTCAATTGTTCATTTATATTCTTTTCTTATTTTATATTTTTTCTCAAACGGAAGATGAGACTTTCATCAAATTTACGAGAACTCGTTCGATTTCTTTCCATTTAATCCATCTAATCGATTTAAATTACAACAATAAAAGTAAAAATATATATATTTCCTTTTTCTCTTTGTTCTCGTAAAAGACTTATTTTTATTATGTTGAAATAATATGATTAAAATATCATGGTTTTCTTTTCCTTTCCATTTTGAGGAATACATTTTTTTACTTATTATTTTTGCTAACGTACGCGCGTACGTTGATCAAAGAAATATTTGATTTTCAGTTATTTTTACTCATTAATCGACATATCGATTGAATGGTTGTAATAGTCATTCGCGGTGAAAAACTGCGACAGGGAAAATGGCGCGTTTGCATTTAAAAGTGGTATCTAAATTATTTACGATGTTTGACGTCCCGATAAATGAAAATGTAAATCGGCCGCTCTTTTTCCAGGTAGTCAATCTTCTTGCATATTTGCATGAAATTGCATTCTTTTTAGTCGCGTTTGGTCTATTTAAAATTCTAAATTAAAGAAATTCTTTCTATTATTAAAATGCACACCCTCCGTCAATTATTAGTTCAAATCAAATAAATTTCATAAAATCATATATTTTTTTTTTTTAATTTTCGAGTGTATTCATTGAACAGAATACACAATTGTGGTCTGATGATTTTCAAAAAAAAAAAGGCAAGTATAATTTCGAGCAATGTCATCAATTGAAAAATTGTTAAATACACGTCGATTCAATTGCAACGGAAAACGAAATATTTTCTTTATTCCTTATTCGTTATTGCGTGTAAACATTTCTTATTCGTCGCACATTTGTTTTAAATTAATTTATCATTTCAATAACTACACTTGATAATTTTTTTGGGAAAAAAGTTGCAGTCGAATTCGACGAAATTTTGTATTAAGAAATTTCGAAAATTAATTTAATAAAAATCCAAAATCCAACAATTTTAACCGCGATAAAAAATATGAATCTTTGAAAGGAGTCAATTTAATTAGATGTTAATTATATTATGGAAGTGTATATATATATACGTGCATGTATATTGGATAAAAATTTTATACGTAAAAATGGGAATAAATATTTCGAAGAAGCAACTTTTCGTACGCACCTAAATATTTCTGTTCACTGTAAAAGTCTCGCAGGACGGCACTGGAATAAGAGGGATCCTACCGCCTTTATCCCCACTTTAGACGCTTTGTTGATAAACCTGACACCACACGCTACATATACATAATGGAATAATACATATAGTATATATAATAGAAAAGCTATAATTGTAGAATTATTATCTTAACTATTCGAATATAAAATAACATTTATAAATCAAACGTTACAAACTATAATTTACATATATGAGGAATAAAAAAATTTTTATATTATATCGATACATTAGAATATTCTGAATTTTATGGCTATGTTAATGCCAATCGAAGTTAAGATACAGATCGTTGATTTGAATTGATGTATATGACAAATATCATGGTAGAAAGAAAAATACGTGTGAAAATAGGCGTTTCTTTCCAAATTAACCAATCAAATCCTGCATTCTTTCCGCGAGACTTTTTTTCCAACAGTGAATAATATTTTTGTTCACTGCTGAAAAGAAGTCTCGCAGGACGGTATTGGGTCAAGAGAAGTCCTTCTCTTGGACCGTCTATCCCCACTTTAGACGCTTTGTTGACAAACCTGACACCACACGCTACGTAATAATAGATAAGTTATAATCTGAACGTTCAAAATCGTAAAAATTATGAAATTATTTAATTATGAAATTATCATTTATGAAATTACATTAGAATAATTATCTAAGACTGGAAACTGAAATATTTTCGAAACTATTAATTATTTCGATATAATAATAATATATTTATAATATATCTAGCTTATTCATATATATATATATATACAATTATTATCTTAACTATTCGAATGTGAAATTATATTTACAAATTAATCAAATTGCATCAAAGTTTAAATACAGATCATTGATTTGGATCAGTATATGTGACGACAAATATCATGGTATGAATGGTAGAAAAATGCGTGTGAAAATAGGCGTTTCCTTCCAAATTAACCCAAATCAATGCATTCCTTCCTCGAGACTTCTTTCCACCAGTGAACACATGGAATCTAATAACATATTCATGAAATATAAAATTTTTATCAGATACATTCGTATAAATATATAAATAGGGGATAAAGAAGGAAGGAAAGGAAAGGAAAAGAAGAAGTCTGGAAGGGTTGATAATACTCTGTTCGCAGTGAGAGACAGGAAACGGAAAGATCACCAAGAGCGAATCCCGAGGATAAGTGAGAGGTGATAGGGGCGCGTTGAACGAGAGCGGCCATATCCGAACAACTTCTCATCGTTCAATTCAACTTCGAGCTCTTTTTGCGATTTGCCACTGCTAATCTTCTTGCTTCGTCCTCTCTCGGCTTCGTCGAACCTTCGAATTATTACTCCCATTCGATTGGCTCGATCCTCTCCCCCCCCCCCAATTTTCTTTAATTCGATCGTTTAACTCGCGATAACACGCAACCAATTCAATTGGATCAGAATGGATTTATTCTCCGTTCTGTGTCGTATAGAAGCTTAAAAAAATAAAAAAGAAAAAAAAATAAGAAATTTCAAGGGATCAATGGATAAAAAGTCGAATTACTTCTGAGAGATGAATTCTAGCTCAGGGCTGGAATTACTTTCGAGGTTGTTGTAAACAGCTTATATAAGATCAATTCGGTTAATACTTGAAAAAAATTTCAAACGAGTATAGTCGAGTAATTTAGACGAAAAATTTAGATATCTTCGAGGAATTGAGAAAGAACGTCTCTTATACACGTTATTTTTTCTAGCAACGTGACTTTTGAAATTCCCGTCATTTTCCAGACATTCGAATCGCGTTAAGATTAATCATTATCCGTAAGAATCGATTGAAAAAGAAAGGAAAAGGAAAGGAAAAAAAAAAAAAAAACGAATCGAAAATTTTTCTAAATTCGAAACAAGAGACGGAAAAATTAAAAGTGTCTAACTATCCTCGTTAAAATAACCGAGCCTTACATTTATCGATTAAAACGATTTCCATTTTTTCCATGTGCGTGCGTATAAGAATACGAGTCGTCGAATAACACGGATATAAAATGTAAATAATTAAAAAACACAAACAATTTTCGAAAGGAGGAATGGACGCGGCCTATTTGGTTAGAAAAATCATCTTCTTCGAGATAAGAATTAAGCAAAAAAGGAAAAAAAAAATATATATATATATTTAATATATATATATATATATATATAAATGAAAAAAGAGAAAAAATATGTCAATCTTAACGAATGGAAGGAATCGTAATCAAGTACGCGACTTATATATAGGAAAAATAATTAGAAGGGAGAAGAAGAAGGAAGATTTCGTTGGTAATAAAAGAAAAAACAGAAAAGAAAAAAAAGAAAAAAAACGTATACCGTTTGTTATTAACAAAAGATAGTTTTGTTTATAAATTTTTTGCAAGCGATTTATAGTGCTTGTAAAAAATCCCCTTAGGAAAGCATTAAATCGATTATAGAACGATGAAGATACGATTCGATTCGATGCCTGTATAAACTCTTAGTTAACTTTCTTTCTAGAACGGATGAAATTTATGTTTTTTTCTTTCTAATTAGATATTAACATAACAGGAAGAGGAAAAATTAATTGCTTAACGTGTCTCGGTAAGAGATCGAGAGAACATGTACGATTCGTCGTCGATATGATATAAATATATCTATATTTTTATTACGTTTTATTACTTTACATTTTACCGACGGTAAACACCGCGGGAAACATAATTACCGACTGTTTTTTATCCGAATAACATTTTTACTTAATTCAATCAATTTTTTTTTCTTTTTTATCATTTTTTGTTTTCTCTCTTCAAATTTGAAAAAGAGTTATAACGTTTTAGCAAATTGTATCTTTTCCTTCTTCCGTACGTTATGGATAAACGTACCAAGGGTAATTGTAACGAGAAGAATTTTTTTTTCGTCAAATTTTATTACATACAATTTTCCATCTGTGTAATTGAATAATAAAAAAAAGAATTAAGAAATAAGGAATGAGAGGGAGAGAGAGAGAGAGAAAGAAAGAGAGAAAGAACAACTACCCGGAATATAAGGGTAGTAATTTTCGTACATAGGAAAGCGCCTAATATTTAAAAATGAGTAAAATAGATAAATGAACGGGGAAAAAAAGTTAAAGAAATGAAAAATATATATATATAAATATAAATAAAAAAAATAAATAAATAAATTCATATTTGCGTATGTAGGTGTATATACAAATAATGTATATTCAGATTCATACGCATTTATATAATTATATTGAATTATTATTAACGAAAAAAATAGATGAGAACTTATATATTATTTGTTGGGAGAACATATATTATACGATATTTAATATATTTAGGATATTTATTTGTTGATTTGGTGATATAAAAAAAAATATATATATATATATAAAACATAGATTAAAAAAAAAAATATATATATATATACATAAATAGTTAAATAATTTTTACAAGGCCTATGAAAAACAATCGAAACATGGTATTTCAAGGGGGAAAAAAATCGATTGATCACATTCGCGATTTTAATCCATATTTTTATTTTTTCTTCACTTTATTCGTCGTTTTTCGTGACGAAGTCAGATAAACGAAATAACATTTCAATTTAAGAAAAAAAAAAAGTTCGCGCGATATTTTGTTTTCTTGTCGCGATCGATTCATTTTTTTTTTTTTCTTTCCCTTTTTCTCATTTTCAATTCATTATAATAATGTTAGATAGAAATGTTAAATTTATTAAAAAAAAAAAAAAAAAAAAAAAAAAAAAAAAAAAAAAAAAAAAAAAAAAAAAAAAATGGGGACGCAGGAATTTTTATCATAAATATTTTATATGAATTTTACCACACTTGTCATTCGTAGTTCGAGATTAACGAGAAATAAGTGCAATTAATTATTATTATTATTATTATTCGATCGTGTTGTTATTAAGAGGATGCCTATTAAGCTTATTAAGCTTATTGCTTGGCCTAAACGTGTACATTTTTTTTTTTAAGATATATCGATGTTTCATTTTTTCCTCGTTTTCTCGTGATTAAATTTTTTTTGATTAAAATAAAGCGAAGATCAAATCAAAAAATGAATCGATCTCGATGAATTAATTTTTTTTTTTTTTTTTTNAAGAAAGTATTTCTTAGATGTTTTATTTGAAAAAAAAAAAAAAGAAAGAAAAAAGAACTAGAGAGAGAAATATATATATATATATTTACGTTAATCGTAATTTCGATTATTTAGCAAATTCTTATAGAGAGATAAAGAGAGAGAGAGATATATATATATATGTGTACCAATGTGCAGTTCATATCTAACTGCGCCTACCTACTGTTTTACATATTTATTAATTTTTTGTTGTCATCATGTGAACGATAAGCGATCTTCAAAGCGGCGCGTGTACAGCTCTTTTGTTAACGATTCGTTATTATTGCCATTAATATGTATAACGCTTGAAATTTTTTAATAATTTAAAACTCGACCAGTAGATAGACGCGAAACAATTTAAATCGTTGCGAGTTAAATGTGTTGCTTTTTAAATTATTTCGATAATAATTTCGATCTTTCTTATGAAATTGTGAAATACGATTAATTGATCATCGATCGATCGATCGATCGTGGTTGAGAAAAAGATCGTGAGAGAGAGATATCGATGATAAAAAAAAAAGAAAATTTGGATAGAAATTTTACACGTAAAAAGAAAAAAAAGAACGAAAAAAAAAAAAGGAAAAAAAAAAGAACCTAGCAATAAATTTTCTAAATTAGTGGATAGTAATTAAGATTACGATTTGAAAGATTGACGATTTTTGGATCGTTTTCGGATCTTTTTACGTATTATTGCGACTGAAGAAGTGGAAAAAAAAAAAAAAAAATTATTATCGAGGGAAATAGTTTTTTCTTTTTATCAAAGCGACAAATCGTGTATCCGTCGAAGAATCGGATATAAGAATCGGATCGAATGTATCCAGATTGGAACCATTTTCGAGCAATAATCATTTTCGTACGCGATTTACAATTTACAGAATTTCGAGATACGTAAATTTGTTTAAATTTGGTTGATAAAAAAATTACTCGTTTCTTTGCAAACTCTACTATTTAGAAGATAAAGGCGAACTCGAACTTAAAGATGGAAATGGTTAATTGATAATGTTGTGGCGAAGAAGTGGTTGAAATACGATGAATTAAATATTTCTATTTACATGCGTTATATATGAATTAAATTTTCCGTTTAACTAATGAGTTTGTTAAGTATCGTTGAAGGTAAAGAAGATTTAGCTGTATTTACTGCCTTTTACTTGGAATTAATTGCCCTAAATATTATTCGTAATATTTTCAAGGCGAAAATCCAAAAATTTGATTCAAATTCGAATTTAATATTCGAATTCTCGATCAAATTTATTCATTATTCATCTTCCTTTAAAAGCTTTTAGCTGAATATTCTTAAAAAAAAAAAAAAAAAAAAAAAAAAAAGAGAGGAAAAATGTTCTTAAATTATTCGCTGAATATAATTTAAACTTATGCAATTTCAATTAAACGTGTAAATTAAATTGAAATACCATAACCATTTCCATCCATCGTTCTTTTTTTTTTTGATCCCCGATAATCATATATACATACATATATATATATATATATATATATATAGTGTATATTGGTTCGATTTCGAAATAATACGAATATTTTTTTTCCACAAATAGTTGTTGTAAAAATTTATTTTTCAGTTTTTTTCAAAAACTTAATTATCGATTTCGATGTGCATTTTTTTTTTCGGAAGCAACGTTCGCGAGAAAAAAAAAAAAAGAAAAAGGAAAAAGAAGAAAAGAACTAACAGTTACTTTTTTGTATTGTTAGAGTTCTAATTGTTGTACTTCTTGATTAGTTATTTTTTATAAAGCGAAATAATTTGTAAATAAAATAATAATAATAATAGTAATAATAATAACAACAACAACAACATTAATAATAACGATAATTCGTAAGATTCGAGGAGGAATAACAAGAGAGTAATAATTAGAAGTAATAAAAGAAAAAAAGAAAACGAAAAGGCGGAAAACTTTTTTTGTGATGGATGGTTACCCATGATAAAAGGATAATTAACATTAAATAATCGATCGAGTTACCGTCGTAGGGTAAGGTCGAATTATCGAATTAATTATCCGTTAGGTTAACCGATAAATTAGTCATTGATCAACGAGCTAATTAATTTAAGCCGGATTTATGGAACTTTTACTCTTATAGATAAAGTATAAATAGAGAAAAGTGGCAATGATTCGAGAAAAGAAATGTTAACGCCGTTTTATCATTTTTTTTTTCTTTTTTTTTTTTTACCTACCTTTCCCCTCCCCCGTGATTTTAAAGAGGAGGGGGGGAGGTATGTATAAAGTGATCGGTATGATTAGTTACCGAAAATATCTCTTCTCTGTTCTTTTATGTGATTATACACGTTAAATATACGCGTACAGACGTGCCACATCAACCAATTAGTCGACGGATAAAAATAAATGAATAAATAAATAAAACAAATGAATTTCGATTGGAAAACGAAAACGCGATTCTATCAGGCTGAAATCACATGAGCGGGGAATAGTAAATTTTAATCGATCGATCATTCTGCGTCGAGACCACCGAAACAATCGAATGAAATTCGAACGAAAATCGATCGAATAATTATAATTGAAAGTAAAAGTGAAGAAAAAAAGAAAAAAGAAAAAAAAAAAGGAAAAAGTTTGAATAGTTTAGAAATTGATTAAACGAATTTTAAATGATCCGCGAGAAAAGAACGAAAGCGAGAAAGAAAGAGAGAGAGAGAGAGAGAGAGAGAGAGGGAGAGAATGTTGGGAAAGATAAAATAAAAGTGAGGAAAGAAAACGTGCGATCGCGTATGAAAGCGAAAAAACGAGGAAAGAAGGTGTATGTGCCGAGCGTTTGGTTGAAAGAAAAATAGTAAAAAAAAAAAAAAATTTATAAAGATATACGAATAATCTAGATACCAGATAACGAAATGACATACTCCATGCCTTACATAGAATTATCTAAGCCTAAGTAGATGTATCTAATTAGCCGTATTAATTGAGAAATAAATTACAAAATTACGTGGTGGTCAACAAAGAATCGAGAAATCGAACGTATGCACAAATCGGGTTTTGCGAGTAGATCTTTGAAATGATTTGATTCGATATCTGATTCAACGTCGCAACGAATTACGTTGTACATATATTTCCTTTTTGTTTCTTTCTTTTTCTCTTCTAGAATATGAAAATGATATATAAGAAAGAAGAATTCTGTGATTATATTTGTAAAGAAAAAAAACGTTGATATTATCGATTTGTTGTGTATGTGTTTTTATTTCAAAGAAAAAAAAAAAAAAAAAAGAAAAAAAAAAGAAACATTTATTTAGTATATTTAAAATATGAAACATAGAAGAAATTAAAGTGGAAAGTGGTTGTGATAACTTGTTTGATCGTTTGGAGAGATATTTTCATCGACGATTAATCGACGATAAATAAAGTGCACGATAGTTACGAATATTTATATGTATATATATATCTTATATATATATATATCTTATATATATATATATATATATATATGTGTGTGTATCTTTAGATTTCAATTGTTACTTATTAAATGTCGATGAGAAATTTCGATAAACGAAGTGAATTAGTTAAAGTAGCCGCTAGGTTCGTTGTTGACCAAGCTTTTTTCTTAATCGACTTACATCCCTAATTAGAGTGGAAAATGGCGCTGATTAAGTAGAAATTATCTTCAATTTTCGAATCGAAAGAGTTAGAGCGGAAAAGAAAAGAAAGATAAATATAGTTGGCAATAAAAATTAATAAATTTGTCGAACGGTTATAATTAAAAAAAGAAAAAAAAAAGATAAATTAAATAATTTACTGAAACTGTAAATTAATAACGAATTGCGAATTCAAGTGATATGTTGATAAATATGTATATTCCTTAACGATGATTTATTTCCCCAAAGAAAGATTTCATACATAGTTACCGTGTGATAAAGCAGATAGAAAAATAACAAATATTTATTAATCATAACATTGTTTATTTATACAAAGGAAATATTATTAAAAATCCTATTCTTTATTCGTTTTAATTTATTTCTTTATTGTATAATTAAATTTATTAGTCATCCGATAACAACTTAATCGCGATATTATATATGCAAATGCGATTGTGATTCAGAGACAAGTCACTA